CGCGTCTGCTGTGATTCCCGTCTGGTGGCGTAAGCTGTATCGGCGGAGGGTGGGAGAAAGGGGCGTGTTCAAGTAACGCTTGGGCAGCCGCGACTACCTGGACGCAGCTGCGTGTGTTCAAGTGGAAGTCGGTCAAGTCTCTGAGGTCAGCGCGTCTGAAAGTGCTGACTGAGGTATTGGAAGACCTTGAGGCAGCTGGCCTTGAACAAGGACGTCGGACAAAGCTACGTGGGGTGTCGGCTACAACTCTCAGTAGTATGGTTGCAGAAAGACCAAAGGAATTTGCCGCGTCCCTCTCCGTGACACTGAATGAGCCATGGCCTCGCGAGTATGCCTCAAATAGACAGGTCCTGTGTAAAGTATGCTGTTCCAGAGCTCGCCTTAATAGCCTTTTTTGTAGCAGTGCAAATTACTACTCTCGCCTTCCTGTATGGAATTCACACTTTTCTTGTGATCAATTTTGTTGAACTATTAGCATTCGAAGATCAAGCTGGGCCGTACGTCGTAAGATGGCGGTGGCAACATTCCGTGTACATTTTTGTCGCGAACACGCCTAACGATATCCTTTCAGAGTTGCTTATTGGCCAGTCTCCCAGCTATGTGATTAGTTTGTAGGACCTTAGGGGAAAGGTTTGCCGGCTGCATATATTCTGTTTATTCTTGATATAAAGAACTTTGTGTCATGCTAATATTACTCTGACCCTGCCCCCTAACGAACGTTCACTAACTGCCTATATTACTCTAAGCATTCTTTATCTCTTTTCAGTTCTTATACGTCAATTGTAAGATAAATAAAGCCCAACTCTAGGGTACTCACTAATTCTCTCTCCTCGTCTGTTTGACTCGTACTTACTGAATCTCGCGACTCCGATCACAACACCTTGAATATTGAAATTTTTAGGAACAATGCTGACCAACGAATTTGAAGTGCACGACCCTCTTCGATTCGTGCCTATCCGGGTGAGCACTTTCAAAAGCTTGCCCTTTGCTGGTCAAGTCAACTGTCGGCCGGAAACACTAGCCGAGGCCGGATTCATTCACCGACCAGACATTTCGGCTGATTGTGTTCAGTGCTTTGTTTGCATGAAAACCTTAGATGGTTGGGAAGCTAACGTAAGCCATATGTTTTTTTTTCATCCTCTGAATGTCCTTTTACCATCTCTTCGTGCCTAGAGGTAAAAGGGAAAGGATGGTTTTTGAGAAAGTTGTTTGTTCTATTGGTATTTCCATTTCCGCCTTAGATATGAAAATTTTCAACATAAAGTTTAAATGTTTACTCAGATTCAAACCCATTTTAACAAAAAATAAAAACAGCCGCTCTATGTCGAACATTGGAATTGTATATTGTCGAATATATGTCAGAGTCCGTACCTAACTTACTGTCACGTTGGCTTTGGTAACTGTTGGTCGTTATCTCAAGTAGATGATCTAAGAAACTACAGGTTTCTCCGATGTATTTATAGACTTCATAACTGCATTCGAGCTTACACACCACCTTTAATCTTGCGCTTTAGTTTCTATGGTTATTGGACTGCGGAGCTCTTAATATCGTTTGCGTATGACTCGTATCCGAGGCCAATTGCGAACGGCGTATATTTTTCCGCCTTCACGAACACCTGTTTGAGGAGACGGAAAGCGTCAGAACCTCCTATTTGATGCATCCTTCCGACAAACCGACACTGCAGTTACGGCTACCGATGTTCTTTAGAATGAGGCTGCTCAGTTCACCGTTTTCGTTGTAGAAACCAAGATTACGATAGCCCGTGTAGTTTGACAGA